TCGGAGTGTTTATGGGCATTTAATTTTGTTGATTAAACCTCATCGACACGGCTTGAACCATCAAACAAATGTTTTATAACGTTCATATTAGGCCTTCAAGGCCTATAAACAATGAAATTCACTGACAAAGGCTTGAAGCCAACAAAAAACTCAATCTCATTCACTCGCGTAGAAGGATTGGACTCGAACTTGGATTTATCATTTGACCCACGCAGTATCCCTAGACGTCATATGTGTACCCATAACACGCTCACTGGGGCCCGTGTCGCGCGTATGCATATTGTATGTGAGGGCAATTTTGGAATGTTTGACATCAGTCAGTTTTGTAAGCAACTGTCATTTGAATGCAGTGTTCTATTTGAAAGCTCATATGTGCCTTCTGTTCGGTGGCATAGCGTGGCGTTGCGCTATGGTTATTTGCATGTTTCATACAGGTAGACTGTCGTGTACTACTTGTTGTTTTCTCCATATAGATTGTTGTGCACTAATAAATCTCCTTTCTATTGCTAGCAGATGTTTATATCTGCTACAAGTCTTCCATATTTTAGCAGATGTTAATATCTAGTACAAGTCTTCGTATTTTCTTACAAATAACACTTAGCATATTTGACAGGAGGGTGTTGTTGTATCCGCCACTAACCTCTTTATGCGCATTGGCTAGTGGGTTATTATATCTTTTGTACATTCACTCTTAGTGTCTTTAAAGAACTATGATCTTCACTTACTAAGTAATCGCCACCATTTGAAGGGGCATTGTAATATCCATTATATATCCCTTGTAGTCACTACAAACCTCTCTTCCACTTGTAGGCTAGATGTTGTATACATGGCAGCTCTCTTGTTGATTGAAACTTTGCTCACAATTGTTTGAATGCTACAGGTTAATTAATCTTCATTATCGTCCAAAATCATTCACAAGTCTTCTGGTAGTTGATTGAAAGTGGAACCATCATGTCTGTAATAGGTTCATGCTCTTGCTTGCGAGTTGACTAGCATTGATGACAATATTTCATATGATTGATTGCATGTCCACATATGTCGCAAGGTGTTATATTGCTTGTTTTCTATTCATGAATGATATACATTACACTAATCATGCACCTACAAACAAGCTGTTGTATGGATCTGCAAGCAGGTGTAGTCCTTTAATTATTTGTGAATATGATTGAGGTAGGTATTTCACGCAGACTACTATCATTTGTGAATGTTTCACATCATTGCACTTTGATTTTTAATGTTCGTAGGTGAACCCTCGGCGGACACTTGCATTCATCCAATGTTATACCGTGCATATTTACTTGTGGCTTTTTCGTATGCAAATAAGTTGGTGTATCCATCTACGCACTCTTACTATTATCTCTATATCTTGCTTATTAACGCACTATTGTATACATTGCACTCATCTTTTCTTGTATATCAGCTAGTTGTTAGGGACATTCAAGCATCGTTTGTGTGCGGATGAGTTGTATTATTTATTGGAGATTCCATAGCATTGCTTGCAAGTATGTCGATGCATCTTCCGTAACATTCATTTTTCACCGCTTGTGTATGAGTCATGTCACACATCACCAGTCTTCCATTGCTTTTGAAGATAACTTGCATCTCATGTGGTGAATTTGTTTGTTGATGTTTATATTTTATTTAACCAAACGATCCCTTGATATCTCATTGAGATTTCTCGTTGTTTGCTTGTGGGAACTATTATGTTTTCTTCCATAGCTTATGTGAATGCTAGGCACCAATTGCCCTCATTCGTAGGCAACTTGTAGTATGTTTACAATCAAATTACACGTCCCTGTAGTTATTTACATATGGTCTTGTTGTGTGCATTACAAATCCTCTTGCTTATTTGTTAATGTTCGCTTGAATGATTTGAAACATTTTTATTTTAGCATTTATATTTTCAATTTGATAGTGCAACTATTAATTTAGAGTTCGACTCTCTGTTATTTCATTTGAATTATGTTCCATGCGATCCAAATTGCAAGTTCAAATCAAGTCCTTGTAATTCATGTAAGTTTAAATTCAATTCAATCCAAGTCCCACGTATTTGCTCTGAATTTCAACAGTCTCCCGACGTTTCTCCCGTTTAGGGGAAACTATAGGAAACTAGGCCATCCTACCACGCTACAATAGCGTGTATGGTAGGTGTCAGGTGACACCGCGGCCATATATCTTCAATTCCACTATGCTACAAGAGCGCATATGGGGGCTTCAAAGTACCTATTTGAAAATGTAATTGGCTTTCCCCGCCATGCTACAAGAGCATGTACATGTACTTAGAGATGTCCCCGCCACACTACAAGAGCGAATATATGGATAACCCACCTCGCCGTATACGTCGCACCGGATTTCTCCTATCGTGCTACAAGAGCGCGTATAGGGGGTTCTCCAGCTCGACACAAATGCCAAGAACGGGATTTTTGAGTTTCATAAGCTTATACCTACGCGACGAGAAGTTGGTGGCGATGTGACGGCACCGAAAATATACAAAACTTCTTTTTCCTCCTTTTTTTTTGACATTTTCTTTTTCTTCTTTTTTTTTATTTTCTCCCATTTTTTCTTTTTTTTTCTCTTTTTTTTTTCTTTTTTGCTCTTCTTTTTTTTTTCTTTTTCTTCCTCTTTTTTTTTTCTTCTTTCTTCTTTTTTAAATTTCTTTGAAACTCTTTTCTTCTCTCCTTCCCCCATATTTCTTCTTTTTTTTATAAATAAATAATAACAATAATAATACATAAATAACATCAATAATAGTAATTATCATTGTTATACTTATAACTAATAATAATACTAGTTATAATTTTAACAATAATAATGATATTAATAAATGAATAAATAACTAGGTTAATTAAATAAAACAAGCAAGTTTAGGGATTAAACCTTCTATTAGGAGTTGGATCGGTTTGAGCTACGATAGAGGCAAATTGTGGGATGCGGTTTATAGAGAGGAAGTGAATTGGCTTCGTGAGTCTTGCGGCTAGAATAGAGGCGTGAGATGCTGAGGTTGGAGAAAGCTTCGGCATGTGGAGGGGTTTCGCTAAGTGAGATCTAGGGCAGGAGGAGTTCGGTTGTTACGGCAGGAGTTTCGAACGTCGGCGGCTAGGGCAGAGGGTCGTGGGATTGGCTATGGATAAGATTGGAATAGGCGAAGGTCTTTAGCTGGATGAGTTTGAATGGAGGTAAGGGTCGAGTGTTTGAAGTCGACGTCAGTTTTGCAGCTTAAAGATCGAAGGGAACGGAGGTTGGGTCGTGGGATGTTGAGGTCGGAGCGGGAGGCTTGCGGACGTCCGACTCTGTTGAACCAATACACCTATTTATGAAGATGTATTGTATCTGATACACTGATACATGGATACACCTCCGATACGACATCAATACGTGTCGAATACAGCAAAGTTGTATCCAATTTAAATACTATTTAATTTCAAAAGGACACACGTATCTGATACACGTGTCCATTGAAAAGCAAAAAAATAAATAAAAAAATGCGTCATATATACTTCCGCGGCTATGAGCGATGTTCTCTCATTTCTGAGATGGATTTGAGTCTCTTGATGATATGGGAATACTAGAAATGGCTAATCTTTCACTTGATGAAAAGACAAACCACTGAAGAAGTTAATCATATCATTCCTTCTATTGAATTGTTGAAACTTCATGTTGCTAGACAATTTATGTTTATGCTTTTGTTGTTGTACTAGACATTTAATACTTTATTTTGATATTATAAGCTACAAGGCTACAAATGATATTGCTTTCATTTTTAATTTTAAATATTATGCTTTGATTGTTTTCTTAATTTTTATGTATGATTTATAGATTATAATGTTGTGTCCGTGCCATACCCGTATCCTATATTTTTAAGAATTTACGTGTCCCGTATCCGTATCGTGTTGTATCCGTGTCGCCGTATCTATATCGGTGCAACATAGACATCAAATGGAAGAGAGGAGTCGGGATTTTGGTTGGGGAGTTCGGCTTTCTGAGGAAGATGCGAATGAAGAAGTGAAAGCTCAAAGGCTCTGTTTCGTTCGCGTTTTAAAGACGAAGGCAAAGGTGGCATCGAGGCAAGCTACCCACGCGAAGAATGGACGTTTTCAACGCCGTTTACAATAAGATGGGACTATAGCAAGCGGCAGAATGGGCTTCGACAGGGATGCATGGGATTTGAGCAGTTATGGCAGAGACATTTATTTATTTTATTCTTTGGATTATCTGTTAGAGGTCAACACGTCCTTATTTAGTCCTAATGTTATGCACATTGCCACCTAAATCCACTACAAGAATCCAATAACCAGAAGCCCTAAAACATCATAAAATGGAATATTCTCCTTCTCCACTAAACTCCCATCCCACAAAAGAATTAGAAGAGATGGAAACTTGAAATGACTTTTGGATACCCTGAAACATTAAACAAGTTTCACCATCAAGCTAGTATTTTATCAGACTCTGCTACATATGGACTATCAAGAATTTGATATTTAAAGCCATGTTCAACATCCTAGTAACACGAGCAGTGCTTAAAATAGCATGATTGAACATTTTGAAAATCTAGGAACAGTATTACAAGCGAATATTTTAATTCCAAAAGCTGCCTCAGATAATTTTAAGCACTATAGTAAACCAGTTGTTATAAATGACTCAAATAATTTCCATTTTAAGTCAAGTACCAAGCAAGATATCCTGATCAGAATTTGATCAAGATGAATTTTAAAACCTTCAATTTACATTTAGATGAGTGTACCATATGATTAATCAAATAACTTTCAAATTGCATTCATGTCAAGGTAAATCAAAGTGTTTTAAAAGCCTTCCTGAGCAAATTTTGATCAGAATATCCTCACCCATTTTTTTCCTTCAACTATTCCAAAAAATAAAGTCAACAACAATCAACCATAAACAAAATATTTGATTTTACCAAGTTAAACGACCTATAATGTCAGATTGAAAAGTAAACATAAAATCTAAAAGATGCGCAAAATAGGAAAATGGTAGAAACACACCTGTTTTCTTTAAAATGCACATATCTAATTTCATTCTTTAAGTAAAGCATTCGAGTTTTTTCCAAGTTTCTGGCTATTATCACACTGGTACTTCTATAAGTCAGGCCCTGCAAACATTTACTAGACTTTAGCTGCTACAACAATATGAAAGACTAAAGTTGAAGTTAGTGAAGATGAAAGTTTGCTAGGAACAACGGTACCTCATAATCCATACTTGGACTTTGAAGGAGCTTAAATATTTTTGACAAACCAAGATTTCTCTCTTCGAATAGGATAAGATTCATTAATGTCAGCATCATGGAAATGCAACCCTTCCATAAAAAATCAAGTTTTCTCTTAAAACTGAAAACCAACAAGCTTGAAATATGTGCCAACATAAATTTTATCTCCTGATGCAGTCCACCATAAGCGCCCAACATGTCACATAAAAATTTTTGAACTTCCTGGTCTGCTCCACACCCACTGACCCTAATAATACTAGCAGATTGAGAGAGACATTCATATACCCTACAGGTTAAGTTATCACTTAATGTTTTCATTTGATTATGACACTCAGTTTGTCTCAAAAGCCATATAGTATGCAGAAGTGATGAATTCATTAATTTCATTGCAGCTGCAAGACAGTATACCTCTTGTTGAATCCTCTCTCTATTTTGATGGTGTCTCTGCTTCCATACTTTCATTGGAATAATGCTCTCAATCATGTAATCTACAACCAAGCAGGTAGCGTCCTTACACAATTGATCTATTAAAGGGTGATTCCCTCGTATATAAGCAGCAGAAAATGCTATGACGTCTGATTTAGTGCCAGAGAGTACACCCTCAGAGTAAAGATGGGAGAAATCAACCAAGTCATTAGCTTGATGAGTGAATTTACCCCAGGTCATTTTAAGAATACTTGAGCCTGAAGGGAACAGCGCTTTGACGCCATGATTTGATCTACCATTAGCTCCCAAAATAACAGCATCAAGTTGCAAAGTAGATAAGTATGACAAATACAATTTGACAGAAATTTCAAATGGGTCGATGTAACAACTGATTGCTGAAGTATCTGACTTTCTACCTTCAATAGGAAGATGAGTACTAACACATCTAGAAGCTAAAAGAATAAGTTGTGCTTGAAGAATAAATGGAGCTGATAACATAAAGGGGCTACTGATTAATTTCAGAGAAGCATCCAAGGATATGTCAGGGATCATTCTATCTATGTCACTTGAACCAGATAACGAATGAAGGAACCTACTATAGTCCAGGTCATTTCTGATTAATTGAATAAAATGACCGAATACAAGCTCTAGAAAAATACATGTCCGAGCTTGAGTGTAACGACATGCACAGAGCTTCCCAGAATTAGCAGTTAAAACATTTACAGAAATAAGATGCTTTCTCAATCTTAAATTCTCTGAGAACTCGACTATGAATACCTGCAAACAAATTTGATTATCAACTTCGTGAGTTAGCTAGACTCTAGTAAACTATTTTATAAATTAGTTTACTCCATAATAAAGTAAAGACTTCTATCCTTAATTGGTGTCTCTTGGCAGAGCGGATTTTGTACAAATTGGCATTTCAATTTTTGTGCCAAGGGAAAGTGATGTAGAACGGGTAGGAAGATTTCATGTACCGGAGCTTCTGGCAGCAAGTGACGCCTTTCCAGAAAGCTAGACAACAAAGCTCTTAGCTGGAATTTTCTGGCCAGCAAGGGAAAAGCTGTCTAGTAAGCAGGACAGTGAGTATTCTGTTACGCCGGCCCAGGAGGGGCCGGCTGGACCGGTCCACTGTTACTCCAGGCGGAGAAAACAGGGGGCGGGC